GCAGATCGTGAGCAGCAGCGAAGCACCGAGCTTTATTAATTTCAAACAACTCCTCCAATTTGTGGCTCAAGTGGCTTGCTGGCTGCCCCCCGCCTGCTGCCGCTACAGATGATGATGCTGATGATGCCACAAGGTCGCTCAATTGTGAGGTCAATCTTAAATTTGCATAGACCCTCGTGCGAGAGTTCAAATCTGCAGATAATCATCTGTGCTCGATGGCAATCTCCATTAGATCTAATCTCTGAGAATTTAATCCGAAAAGTATCTATCCCTTGAGTGAGCGAACGAACACCTTCTGTAATTATTGTATCCATAAGGTGCACACGAAAATGACCGGACATGGAATTTATGTGTATCTGCAAAGGCAAGGTCGGACATTCCTAAGGCCGTATTCCAACAAATTGGCTGAACCCAAGCCACAACAATTTGGCCCGCAATTGGCCACAACTATGCACGATAGACGGACGATAGGCGATGGGTGATTGGCGATCGGCAATCGGCAATCGGCAATCGGCGATCGGCGATTGCTGATTGGCGATAGGCTCAGGTGTGAGGGCCCCGCAGCCGTTCGCGGATTTATGGGGATGACGTGCAGAACAAGGCAATTGGCCAGACAAAAGGAATACCATAAGCATAAAATAGTAAAAAATGCAATTTGCAATTGCTGCCACTGCCGCAGCCCCTACCTGGGGACCGTTAAATGGATGGCAGTGGCAAGAACGAAGAGCCAGAACAGAACACAAAACCAAATTAACGCCAAACAACAGAACAGCAGCGGCAGCAATTGCAATCGAAGAAGTGTAATACGATAAGCCAGCAGAGAGTAGAGGCAATTGGCAGCAGCAGCAGCAGATCCCCAGATGGACGCGTGAGGTTGGGGTCAGGCGGCAGCACTCTGATGGGGATGGGGATGGGGATTGGGAGATCGCTTGGCTCTGGATCGGTTTGGGATTGGGATTGGAACTGGCACTAGGACTGGCACTGGCACTGGCACTGGCACTGGCACTGGCACTGGCACTGGCACTGGGGTTCGCTTGTGTGCTAAATGTCAATTTGATACCAGCCAGAATCCAATTAAAGCTGAAGTTGCATTCAGCTTCAGCATCGGCTTGCAAATTGCAAATTGCTATCGATCTCTGACTGCGATCTTGTCGATGGGTCGTCGTTAGATGCGTGCCCCAAAGTATATTTGTGGGTCATGGTACAAATTTCAAAGCGAAGGCAACAGACAGAGGAATAGCAACAGGCACGGTGCCACAGCCAGAAAGCCAGAGAGCCAGAGAGCCACAGTACCAGACACAAACACGACAGCCGACACAAGATAGCTCTCTGACAAGAGACACCTTTTGATATGCTAACGAAGCCTCCGCTCTTCCGCTCCCTGGCCGTGCCACTCGTGCCCCGACTGTCAAAATGCTGCCCATGGATGCATGTGAAATTTTCCCACCCTCCATTGAGGCCGTCTGCCTTTGTGAAATGTAAATTTTTTTCTGTTTGTTTCCACCTCTCCGGCCGTACATTTATATTAGAGCTGCAGCTGGGCCACAATTTGTGCAACTGGGGAAATGGGAACTTGCAACTTGCAACTGGCAGCAGCCTCCACGCATGCCCACAATGTAGATATGGATATCCCCCAGATACGAGAACGAATACGAGTTGGGTCAGGGGCATGGGCATGGGCAGGGACAGGGGCAGGGGCAGGGGCAGGGGCAGGGGCAGGGGTAGGGGCCTGCCCCAGACAGCCTGTGCAATTTCTCAGCCACAAAGAAGCGGTGGCCTGTCCAGTGCCTACCCTTTGTGGGCATTCCGCATTCCCCCAAGCAGAAGGAGGGCTGTGCTATGCAAATATGGCCTCTGCCACCGCTCTTCACGCATGAGCCGCCTCCTGCTGGACCTGAATACATTTTTCATAACGCATATCAACAGTGGGCCATTGTTAGATGGACGACCCACTCAGACCAGGTCTCCACCGCGGAGCCGCCGCCGCCGTCACCGCCGCCGTTGACGAAGAAGACATACATAGACGATGAAGATGTATGGCCCAGGCCTTGCCCTTGCCAGATGCTTTTCCAAAATCTTGCAAATTTCCCATGACCGATATCTGGTGGCATGTGCAGCAGTAGAGTCCGCCCCTCTTTGGGGCACTGGTAACAAGCGCCTGCCTCGTTTTGGGCAAATACTCGTACCGATGGGTAAAAGTAGTTGCCTCCTGATGTGTGGTGTGCTGTGTGCCACATGTGTGTGTATACTTTTGGCTACTACTTCATTCACAAATTGAATTTGTGTCACACACACACTCTCAAAGAGAGGCTGAGGCTGAGGCTGAGTCTGAGGCTGGGGCGGCTGTGGCAGAGACACATGGCAGCTGGCTGCTGACCACCCCTTTATTTGGTCTTAACCCAAATACTGAATGCTATGCTATGCTGCAGAAAATAAGAAAGAATAAAATTGTTGGCCATTTAGCCACGACAGTACAGTGGAATAATTACAGCAACAAGTTGCCAGTTGCCAGTTGCTAGCCAGTTGGTAGGCCGCAACATGTTGCTGCCTCTGTTGCCAGCTCGCTGTTCGCTGTTCGCTGTTCGTGTGTTGCTAATAGCTTTAGAACAAGTGCCATTTTGGCCAACAACTAATAGCCAGTTTGTGTCGCTTCCGTTGTCAGTCCAAACAGGCAGGCGGCATCATCCTCATCCCCATCATCATCATCATCATCATCATCATCATCTTCATCACCATTATCGTCATCATTATCATGGTCCAGGTTGTTGTTGCTGTTGCTGTTGTTGGCTGTGTGAGATTATCATTATTGTTATTGTCGCTCGTCATGTCAACTCGTCATCAACATGCCGCGACTCCGAATGAGATGGTAGCAGAAGAGGCAGACGCTTCACCATCAGAATCATCCACAGCCGCAGCCACAACCATCGGCATCAGTATCAGCCACAGTCGCAGCCGCAGCCTCATCCTCAGCCTCAGCCTCAGCATCAGCGGAGCAATCTTTCAACTTGACCGAGAGGCGGCTTCGTGTGTTGCATACCTCTCTCGTTACTGTTGCTGTTTGTTGTGGCATTGCTGCCGTTGCCGTTGCCGTTGCCCCTGCCCCAGCACGCAGCAGTGATATTTGTGACTCCCGGGGCTCAGGTTGGGGCTCTCTCCCTCGTCCCCCAGTTCGCCTGCATTTTAATGAGCACAATTCGCGCATTTATGATGAGCGTCGAGCGTTGCTCATTCGCCTTCCCCAGTTCCAGCTGCAGCCCCAGCCCCAGCATTAGCCGATTTTTATTTGCTTGTTTCGTTAGCGAGTAAACCAAACAGCTGCCCAAGGGGGGGGGATACGAGTACGTTGCAAGAGCGTGGCGGAGAGGGGGCCGTAAACGAAACCACTCAGATTTCACGAGAATAGCAGAAGGGGAGGCGAAATATTGCGAAGGAGAGAGCTCGATATGACCGCCCAGAAGAGTAACCAAAACGGGATTCCATTCCACAGTGATAAGTTCCTCAGGGGACATCAGGGAAAAGAAAAGCGATCGATATTCCAGCTTTTACTTCGATTTAAATGCAACAAGGTATCGCTAGCTCCGATAACTATCGATCTACCCTCACATTTATCGACAAAAAACCATTCCGTCCCATGGTGCTTCGCCTGGAAGATTTTATTGCTTTATGAAAGGTATAAAATTGCATAATCCACCCACCTACCACGCCCACCCATATACAAACATCCGTACGGTTGCGGGTACGGGCATCCCCACCTCCTATTCTTACCCCCTCTCAAACCGGCACTCAACCACCCCTCACCACCCCTCTCCCTAGCCTCACCCTCAGGTCTAAAGCCACCCCTCAATGGAATCGGCCTCGCATCGGTCTGGCACACTCACGTGTTGCATCTCCTGGGACTTGATTAAAGTAACATAAAGCAAATAAAAGCCAAAAGGAAACTTGGCTAATAAATGAAAATATGAAACGTATGTGTCGTCGGCCCTTCGACGCCATTATACCCCCAATCGAGACGACCATAAACCCGGTTATATATGGCGGGACCAGCGAGTCACGTTAGTTAGGTAGTTGTCAACCGATAAGCTGTGATATGTGGCGGTTGCCGCCCGCTAATTATAACGATGGGATCACTGGCTGAACAGCAAGTGGGGGTGCAGAAGTTTTCGGGAAGTTTTCTTCGGCGTGTGGCTGACATTTTCAATCAGCAACTTCAGAGAAAAGACGAAAAACTTCACAGAAACTTTCGGGCAGGTTTCCCTGTATGCGTACTCGTATCTCTTGAACGATTTTTGACCTTTCCGGCCAGCAGAAGGAAGTTCCGGGTCTGTTCTGGGTCTGGGTCTGGGTCTGGGAGGATGTTCTCGAAGGCGGCAGGGGAGGGATAGGGAGGCAGGACGGCGGGCATGTCAGGGAAAATTGCACATCTGTCAAATCGGCAAACAAGTGATTTCCGCAAACAATTGAAGAAAAACAGCCAGTCAGTCAGCCAAGGGCAGGACTGTGCCGGCCAGGACAGGACAGGACATCGACATCCCATACACTCCGGACACCCGGGAGGGGTGCAAGTAGTCGATGTGGTGGTGCTGACTGTGGTGGTGGCGTTGGTGGCATTCGGTTCACATGTCAACAGTCCCACCCGCCCGAAATTTCTGCTGTTTGTGCACGTAAATTGCTTTTGTAAGCCGAAGAGCTATTGAAAATTTTCAGCGCACACAGAAAAAAATGGAAACGAAATAAGAAAAGAAATAAATTGAGACGAGACGAGAGGAGAGGAGAGGAGAGATGAGGCGGCATGCGCCTTGTCATGCTTTTTTAATGAAGTGCTGTCGTTTAAGGAACATATTGTGGCTCGATTTGATTGTTGTTTAAGGGTTAAACGGTCCTCCTGCTGCCAGCCTGTCAAATGGGCACTGAGGGGCCCTCATCCTCGTGCTCGTCCTTTCTACAACGCCAATCACGTACTAACCATAACTCTGGTCCGCTCTCTCTCTCTTCCATTGCAGTTACAACCATGACAAGAAGACGTTCGAGTCCGCTGGGACTCGAGGAGCTGGTGTCTCTGACGCTGGCCCTGCTGGCCATAATGCTGATACCCACACAAGCCGGTAAGTGGTTTATTATGTCAACATAAATTATGTTTAGCCAGCTAAGTACCCCAAGTAGTGCCGGAGTGCCGGAGTGCCGGAGTGCGAGTGCGAGTGCAGCCTCGTAATCTATGCCAAATCCTCCCATATGCCCTGTTTGTCTATTTTGATTATTTTCCCATAAATTCCGGGATCCGAAAAACACCAATCCGCATCCGCACTGACCCCGAGTTCCGGGCAGAAATTCGACTAATTAAAGCCATTGTGACAAATTGCCATCAGACGGCAACAACAGCTGCCGGATCTGCCTGCCGCTTGCCCTGGGTCAGGGGTCGTCAGTGGTCATGACTGCCTAAAAGTCTGTTGCATTTCGGTGGCGAAATTTAATTAAGAGCAGGCCCATTCGGATGCTGGTGATGCTTGGGATGCTGCGGATGCTGCGGATGCTGCGGGGGTGGTGTCGTGTCCCAAATTCAATTGTGTCATGCGTTTCCATTTAAATTGGATTCGACGGGAACTGACACCGGACACACATACTCGTGCAACTGGAGGGCTTGCTTGTCCCGTTCAGGGAGTGTCCGTCCGGGCAGGGTCCGAGAGCTGCGGGCACACTCGTCGTATAATTAAAAGCAAGTGCTAATGGTCTTTGCCATCATCAGCAACGCGACTGCATATTTAGACGCATCTGCATCTGTATCTGTATCTATTTCTGTTGCTGTATCTGCATCTGCCAGGGCCCAGCAATGTGTTAACTTTCACATTTACCAAGGCAATAAAAGGCGATGCCTAACGGTTCCAGCCTGACTCTAGGCGTGTTCGATTTAACGACTTGTTTAAACAGAACTTAAAGGCAAATAAACCAAAAAAGAGCAAGACCCAGACCCAACTGACGCCGGACGCAGCCACGGTGCAGTTCTCCAATGTCCGGGAATATCGGTCAGCGGCAGAAGACAAGAAATGCCAAAACCAAAATGTACTAGTACCCGTACCCACACCAGCCAAACCGAGCCGAGGCCATAACCAGACCCAGACCCAGACCCAGCGTGCCATTGTTTAATGGGCTTTCAATAAACAGGCAACGAGCGAGACTCCATCTCCTTCTCCGTCTCCACCTCTAGCACCATCTCCCGGTGCAACGTCAACGTGTCCAGCTCTGACTGATTTGGCCTAGTCAAAACGATAGGCGACAATAGTCAGCTCGTTGACCCACATTCGGCACCACACTCCGCCACGCTGCCACACCGCCACTCCACCATTCGATGGCTGCATTCAGAATTCTTGGAATTTTCATTAACACATGTCTAAAACTCCGGTGTCCGGGGCTGCATATGGAAATGTATCTGAAGAACGAAAAACGAAATAAAATGGAAAAGAATTTTTGTGAATGGCAGAACGAATGAAGAGATGGGCGATGGAGAGGTAGAGACGAAGGGAGAGAGTGGGACCCGTGGAGCTTTAAACATTGATTCTGCTGGAAACCCCGCCAGGGTTTCTCACCTATTTATTGATTATTACACACAGTCACAAATCTGTTACACTAACAAGCCAACAAAACGGCCTAATGGACCCCAAACCAATCCCCCATCCACATCCCATCCTCCCCATGCGAAGAGTGGAAGAGTGGTTGTGTATAGGGTACCGACACCACTTGAGTTTGATGAACTTGGAGTCGCGGCTCGGGAGAACTTCTCAGCATGCTCTGGTAATTGAATTGTTCCATTATAAATACATGTACGAGTATGAGGTGGCAGCTAACGCATGACTCAACAGTTGGGCTCACGCGATACATTTGTATCTGGCTCTGGTTCTGGTTCTGGTTCTGTTTCTGCCTCAGCCGCCGACAAATGCGAGCAATAAATCAATAGGACTAGCGCAAATGTCAGCCGGGCACTCGGACTCTAGAGATGATTAACAGCGGAGTGAGATACTTCACAACAAGTGGCATTTGCGTCACAACAAAAGCCCCAGCATCCATCGATCCAGCGATCGATCCCAAGCGCTCTATCCGCTCCATACGCCAATTGTTTGCGCAGCTATTAAGACAGATATCGAAAACATTTTGGCATCATACGAGCATCGTGTCAGCCAAGAGCTTGGCCATAGCCGAACAGTTAACCGTAAGACCCAGCCCCCGGGCAAGTTGTGCAATTGAACTGCCATCGCCAGCTAAAAGAGAGATGCCTCAAGTTCAAGTTTTAATTCAAGCTCAAGGTCGGTGGATGGATGGCGATGGCGATGGTCCAGGCATCTCGGTAGCCGCAACACATTACCATTATTTTATAAGCCACGAATCGAAGATGGCAATTTCAATTTGATGGCTTTTTTTGCCCGTTTCTGCCTTCTGCCTTCTGCCTGCTGTCGGCTGGCTGCCTGCTGGCTCGCTTATTTTCATTGGGGCGTTTTCATCAATCAATTTCGAACGTGAGTTCGTATCTCGTTTTTCTCATGCTTATTATAGAATCGAACACAACAGATCAGGCAGAACAGGTGTTCTCTTCTGATTTCCCATTGGCCATGATTTCCCATTCTGTGGATTCTTGCGACTTGCCAATTGACACCTACACCACACGATGATGGTCACTGAACCTTGGCCATCTCCCATCTCCCATCTCCCATTTCCCATTCCGTAATTCTGACGGCAGTTCCCTAACCATCAAATATATTTTATTTCCCCCCCATAGCCAGTTTTTGTGATTTCTTAATTTATAACCAATTACAAAGGCATTAGTACGCTGAGCAAAGATCTTCAATATTTTTGTTTATTGCGCACATAAATCGGCGCTTTATGGCCCCCATTCTCGGCTCCAAGTGAAGCTCCAGCTTCAGTCCCAGTCTCAGGCCCAAGATAAAGATGTGCGGAAGTAAGCGATGTTCACTTGCCGCTGTGCCTAATTAGCTTGTATTAGCAGCCCGAGCTAGCCAGTCAGCTATCCGAGCTATCGATGGCTTAAAAGTTTTGTGCGTGCCAACAGAACTTTCTGGCCAGGGTTTAGCGCTGGCTGTGGCTCTGTCTCTGGCTCTGGGTCTGAGGTACACATCATTATGCTTTGATATTAATTGCATGGCTCGGCTGATGTCATCAGCGTCAGCCTCAGCATCATCGTCGTCATCAGGCCCTGGGCTGAGGCTGAGGCTGAGGCAGAAGCCTCTGAAGCATCGGCTGAGGCAGCGTTAATCAAGATTTAACGTTGTCCAGTCATCAGCTTAGCCACGCGCATATAATTAACATTTTTGCCATCAGCTCGGGCCCAGACACAGACACGGACATGGACCAGGTTCAATGTCAAGTGGCAAGGCGGATTTGGCTTATCAGAGGCGTTGATAGCACCAAACGGTACGGCTGCCCACAGGCCCACAGCCGCACAGCCGCACAGACCGTGTGGCTACCTTCTCCATTTGCTTCAGCTGCCTCAGGTGGTGCTGCCGATCCAGCGATCGTAAATATTTTATATATGCAAACATACTGACACTAGGGGCCATAGCCATACCATCCGTACATTGTTGTCTGCCCTCCATCCCAGTCGGAGTCGTCTCTGAAGTAGACGTAGAAGTAGCTGTAGAACTCCGAGTCGGAGCTGTTTGCCTGGCAAACAAGCTTGCCAAAGCCGCTGACCATTGACCGATATGGCGATGAGGATGATGATGATGATGACGATGGCGATGGCTGCGTGGCTGAGGAATTTCATAGCCACTTAGAGAACAAGTACGCAGAGTTAGAGATCACGAACTTGCGGGTTACCGCGGGGCAAGCCACAGCAGCACAGCCCGCACGAAGCAGCACAGCACCCATCGAACGTGAGACTGCCAAACAGATTTGCCAATGAGGCGGAGAAACTTTCGACGGTGACACAATTAGATGCCGCCCCGGCCAGGCCGGGCCCCATGACTCCAAACATCCAACCCCACCCGACTCCCATGTTCTTGGCCATAAACAAGCGTTTATGCTAAGCATTCATGCTTTCCCTTCCTTTCGCTTGGCTGTGTCCGTTCTGTGTCCCGGCCCACCAGCCTCGCATCGCCCAGTCGTCCATCAATTTTGATTTTGAGTTGGTGTGAAGCGAAATCAAAGCCGGGCCTGCGACTACGAACTCTATCGTGTGTCCCAGTCTCTGCGCATGATAAATTGACCATGAGCTTGAGACACTCATAAAAGATACATTTGTTTGGCTTAAATGTTCCGACGCAGACGCAGGCCGGCGAGCCACTTAGTTGGTTTTGATTTAAACCCACGCAGACGCAAGTCCCACAGCTGTATGGGGGCGAGGCCATTGACCAGACCGCCAAAGGGCCGCAGTTGCCGTTGCACTTGATTCTCCAATTAAATGGTTAGAACTCCAGAGCAGCGTGTGAACCAGAATCGGAGGCGGAAATCCACTGAGAAGGCAGCCCGGCAGGCAGGCAGGCAGGCAGGCGGCTGGCAGATCTTTTGATTTTTATCAGCATTAAATTCTCAACTTCCTGCGACAAGGTCGGGGGCTAATTTCATTTAAGTAAATACGCTTGTGGTTAACTGCCAGGCAATTTGAAGTGTAACGGGAACGTGTAGCCACAGACAGGGCTTAAACCACAGCAGCAGCAGCAGCCGTTTCTTTTTCGACCAAACCGAATGGAATTACAATTGCAATTACACAATTTGGCTATTAACGCCTCGGCGCTTGGTGCCGAGTGCCGAGTGCCGAGTGCCGTGTGGCCCATTCCACCTTTCACCTTGACAATGAAATGGTTTTCAATGATTGCTGTAATTTCTGTTTGAAGAGAAGAAAAGCGAAGCGAAGCGAAGCAGAGCCCACAGTAATCCACCATCCGATCCGCCTCCTCCCAAGCGCTCGCTGGGGAAATGCAAATGAATATCTTTTGCTGTTTAGTAGAGCAAAACGCCGGCTGAGGTTGAGTAATACAATATACTGGTAAGCCCAGATTTCCCATCGAGACAACAGACACTACAGACACCTATCTGTACGGCTGTATCTGTATCTGTATCTTGGAGTGGTGCTTCTGTTGGTGTGGATGCCATAATCATA